AGAGCATCTTCATCAATTGAATCACTAGAGCCTTAGCTTCCCATGCGCATCAACAGCTGTGACTGCATCACGATGAACGGGTTAAAAGCTAAAGGGGGACTCCTGCTCTCAGGGGCTCCAGACTAACTTTTCCACTGGTAGAACTGGTGCCGGCAACTTTCTTGGTTGGTTGCACTGGATTTGGTCGCCCCTTGCATCCCCACAAGTATGAATCCACCAAGTATGCTGATGAACAGCTGTCTTTGCATAACCTAGTTTTTTTTATTTTAATCTGAATATATATTTATTTTGTCACCAGTCTTTTCCTGGAGGTTGGAGCCTTAACTCCTCCCTTGCTGAACACATCAGTAGTCAGTACAATTTCCAGATGTTCCCTGAACACCTCACATGCAGGCCGCGGTGTACAGTAGCTCAGACAGGTGTGAGACCCAAAAGAGTGAAATAAAGTCATTTAATGTCACATTTGGTTTTATCTGCATGGTTTTCTATGAGCAGAGTCTTCTATGTTTTGACTTTTGTAATTCTAGGAAGCCATAATTATAATTCCACTTTATATTCACCTAATTTTTCAGCCCCAGCACCATCTTGGTGGCACTCTGGAGCCCTGTGTCAGATTTATTGCTTAATTAAGTGACCAAATGGTTCACCATCATCAAGCTAGTTCATCAAACGGGGGCTGATACCTCCTTAAATCCCTCCTTCAACACTCTCTTGATAAAAGCCAAGGTGCATGAATTTTAATATCCCCTTTACACCTCGAGGTAATCAGATCTCTGTCCAGATCTGCTGTCTTAATGAGGACATCCAATCCGTGAGCGTGTCCACCTGCTGTCTTACCTTGAATGTGCCTGTGATTTGATCTGAGGCGGATAAGTCAGTGTTAGCAGGAGGATGCAGTCGGTTGATCGTCCACGTTGGAGGACTGATGCTTTTCTTCCAACTGTGGTGACGCTGTGTGGATTACGTTTACTCCAGCCGAGATCCGATCACACCGAGAGCCCGAACACCTCCAAATGTGGACTGAAGGGTGCGATTGCATTCTGATCTCTTTTTACAACGGCCACGAACACGTGTTTTTATTCATCTCGATAGATTACACCGATACTGGCTGCATAGTTTTATGTTAGTTAATGAGCCGTGACAAACCGTCCTCACAATGGGCAGCATTGTGATTCCATGTGTCAAAGCTTAGTAGCATTGTGAGCATTGTGTAAACTGAGTGAGTTGGCTCAGCTCGACACAGATGCGACTGACAGGAAATACTGCTGCTCAAAGCTGCACCGCCCTGCCCCTGGTGGTTGGAGGCCGTACTACAGAAATCAGTTATGATCAGGGATT